GCAGATGCATTCGCCTACCCTGACCAGCTCTACAGGCACTGAGCTGATACTCTGGTGCAGGACTGCAGTTGTCTTCTTCCTAGTTAGCTACACAGTAGTCTTCCGTTGAGGTTCATGCACATAGATAGGTTAAGCAACTCCATTTCCAGATCCTCTATTTCCATTTGTATTCTTTACAAGTTTCCTGCCTGACAAGTGTCTTCTTTCTGCCTTTCCTTTCCCACCTCTTATTCATAAAAGCTCTTCTCTGACTTTGCAAGAAAGTAATATGCCTACCACCCATCCTGAAACTTATTTTGGTGTATTTCTCCAGAATATAAAACCCTAAAGTTCCAGGATTCCAAATTACAATAAAAGGATGCACTGTTCCTGAGGGGAGTACCACAGAAGTAAAAAAAGAGAGTTTGTGAAAGATGTGATGAAGGGTGGTGGCTTATTTTATGTAAGTGACACACTGTGGCAAGGCTCAGACTCATCTCTCCGTCTGCATGCCTGTCTACCTTCTCTCTACCTGTGAATGCAAATTCAGAAATGAGAACGCATATGAGATGCATATTAGCATGCTTATTTGAATTTCTGAAAAATGAAGTTAGACTTTTTCTGGCAGTGTCTGACTTGGCTGATGGGCTGAGCAGTGAGGACTGATTGGATTTGCCAAATAGGTTATATGGTGACATTGTCCATAAATCAAATGGAGTAATTCTGAATTTCCCAGGCTTTGTCAAGATATATATTAAAGTTACATGTATATATATGTAAGGATCTCTGGTGACACAGTGCCTAAGGCATTTGACTGCTAGCCAGAGGTTGGCAGTTCAAACCCACCAGCCACTCCACGGAAGAAAGACTGTGCAATCTACTTCCGTAAAGATTTACCACCTCAGAAACCTAATGGGAGTCACTATGAGTTGGAATCGACTCGATGGCAATGAGTGTGGTTTTGGTTTATATAAAAACAAAACCAAATTCACTGCTGTTGAGTCGGTTCCAACTCAGAGCAACCCATCCTTGGTTTTTCAAGGACATATCTGTATGGAAGTAGATTGCCCAGTCTTCCTTCCGAGGAGTGGCTGGTGGGTTTGAACTGCCAACCTTCTGGCTAGCAGTCAAATGCCTTAGGCACTACATATATATGTGTGTATATGTATATGTATATATATATATATATATATATATATATACACATACACACACAATTCTCAGAAATTATTTAAACTTACAATAAATTTCAGATGCCAATTAAATATGTGAAAAGCTATACAAGTTTTCAAAATTCTTCTGGGAACACATAAGTAAAAGACCCCTGAGTTACTGGGTGACTGCTGTCCATGGCTTACCTCACTGCTAGACTGGGAGCCACTGCAAGCAGAACCATGTCTTGACCTCCATGTCAGCAGTGCATGTGCTGGGTGTGGCACAGTATAGGTGCTGGATAGCTGGTGGGATGGCAAAAGGCAGGGTAAGGATCTCAACTCCTTCTGCTCCTCCTCAGGCCCTATGGCAAGGACGTGCCACGGCTGGACTACTGGCTGGCCTACGAGACCATCATGAAGAAGGTTGGGGGGAGGCCCCACTGGGCCAAGGTAGGACTTGTCAGTCAGCCTGACCCTGGGGCCATCCTGTCAGGCAACTGCTTGTGAGCTATCAGTTAACCAGGAGGGAATTCAATTCCCACTGTTCCTTTGGCTGTCCAGTGCTAGAATGTAGAGAACAACTGAGCAAGTCCCAGAGAGAAGAGGACTCCACCACCCTAACCAGACCCAGTTCCCTTTCTGTGTTCTTGTTCAAACAGCCCAGTGATTGCAGTTCCCTCAACTGCAACTGGTACTTCCAAGTTTTCAGAGAAATTTTTCATCTTGAGTGTACTTGATTCTCATAGAAACTCTATGAGCAAGATATCAGTAAGCCCATTTAACAGATAGGAGACTGGGAAGCTCTTGTGATGCAGTGGTTAAGACATTTGGCTGCTAACCAGAAGGTTGGAGGTTCAAACCCACCAGCCACTCCATAGGAGGAAGATGTGGCAGTCTGCTTCCATAAAGATTTCCACCTTGGAAACCCTGTGGGGCAGTTCTATTCTGTCCTATACAAATTGGGCCCAGAACCCTCTCCACTATACCACAGTGCCATGTGGGAATGGCAATGGGGAATTTAATGCTTCATTCAAATGCCTTATTTCTTCACTTTCTAAGAGCCTCCTCCTTTCTCTTTGTGTCTCAACATTGTGTGTGTCTCTGTGTATTTGTGGGTGTTTGCATATGTATGTCTGTATATGTATCTCTGTGTGTCTCTGTATGTGTCTATATGTGTGTCTGTATTGAGGGTGTCCTACATACAGGCACATGGACACATGGGTGCCTGGTGTGCAGCCCTGCTGCAATGCCAGCTCCAGAGATGAGGCCTATAGTGTCTTTGGTTGCTTCCACAGGCCCACAACTGCACCCGGAAAGACTTTGAGAAAATGTATCCTGCCTTTCCAAAATTCTGTGCCATCCGGGAGAAGCTGGACCCCACTGGGATGTTCCTGAACGTGTATCTGGAGAAAGTGTTCTACTGAAACAGAAATAAAAAACAACCTACCCACCCAACATCCCTCCCCTTCCCTCTGTTCCCCTCAGATATAGTTGAAGGCTCAGTGACTCACAAGCCCAAAGGACAACAGAACTTCAATTCTTGGCCCCACTGCTAGTGATGACCCTGGCTCTGGCCAGGGGCCTCTCCTCTCTTACCTCATTTATCTTCACAGAAATCCAAGAAGGAGGGGGCCTGAGCAGAATCAACATGGCACCCCCATTCCTGTTTGCATCTCCATTGCAGACATCCCTTTTCCCAAGCCTGTAATCACCACATCTTTTTTTCCCAGAAGGAAAAGAACCCCTAAAATATTATGTTTGTCTAAGAGGTCGGTGATTATGTCATTCAAAGGTGCCAACTGCTGGCTGGGTAAGCCTATTAAAACCCATTGCCATCAAGTTGATTCTAACTCCTAGTGACCATATAAGACAAAGTAGAACTGCTCCATAGGGTTTCCAAGACTCTAATCTTTAAGAAAGTATCTTTCTCCCTTGGAGCAGCTGGTGAATTTGAACCACCTTTTAGTTAGCAGACTAGCATTTTAAGCACCACACCACTAGCGCTCCTTTCACCAGCTGGGTAGAAAAATGAAATTCCTGTGGTCTATAGTTTCAGGGGATTCCTCTCCTACCTTCCTAGGAAGTGAGTTCCACTGACATGTATGTGTTTTAGCATAAAAGTCCTGGGTACTGTACACTTTTATTATGGATTGAATTGTGTCCCTCTACCACCACCATCAGGAGCTCTGGTAGCATAGTAGGAGCTCTGGTAGCATAGTGCCTAAGGCACTTGACTGCTCACCAGAAGGCTGGCGGTTCAAACCCACCAGCCACTCCTCGGAAAGAAGGTTGGGCAATCCTACTTCCGTAGTGATACTGCCTTGGAAACCCAAGGAGGGGTCGCTATGAGTCGGGGCCGACTCGACGGCAAACAACAACAACAAAAACAACCACCACCATCAAAAAATATATATATTGGAATCCTAACCCCTATACTTATGAAGGGAGCTCTGGTGGCATAGTACCTAAGGCCTGTGACTGTTAACCAGAAGACTCATGGTTCAAAACCACCAACCACTCCTCAGAAGGAAGACTGCCAATCTACTTGCATAGTGATACTACCTCAGAAACCCAAAGAGGGGTCGCTATGAGTCCAATCGACTCCATGGCAGTGAATTTGGTTTTGGTTTTTTACTTGTGAATGTGATCCCAATTAGAAATAGTGTTTTCCTTGCTGTATTAATAATGCCATGTCAGTGTAGGGTATGTCTTAAATGTAATCATTTTAGAGATACAAAAAAGAGCAGATTAGGCACAGAAGCAAGGAAGCGCAAATGAGGGGAAGATAGTTGCCACATGGAGACTGCTGTTGAACTGAGGAACACTAAAAAGTCTAGAGAAGCTGTGACATAGATTTTCCCTGAGTGGATAGAGAGCCTTCCCCTAGAACCAGCACCATGAATTCAAACTTCAGCTTCCTAACTGTGAGAAAATAAATTTCTGTTCATCAAAGCCACACACTTGTGGTATTTCTGTTGCAGCAGCACTAGCAAATTAGGACAACTTTGTTTCTTGGAGAAGCTTTATGTTTACAGAAAAATTGCAGAGTACAGAGAGTTCCCACATATCATATCCTCTACTTCCCACGTAGTTTCTCCTATTAGGAACATCTTATATTTGTTATAATTAATGAATCGATATTGATGCATTTTATTGACTGAAGTCTAGAGTTCACATTCCTGTTCACCCTTTGTGTTGTACAGCCTTATGGGCTTTGACAAATATGTAATGTCTTGTATCCACTAGAACAAGATCATGGAGAATGGTTTCCATTTGCTTAAAAATGCCCTGTGCTTGACCTATGCATCCTCCCCCACCCCCTTCTTTTTAATAAAGACAAAGGATGATTTATTCTCTTCCCTCTTGTTCCTCTCCCAGGTAACTCTTCAGGAGGCTCCCTGATTCCCTTGCTGTCCTCCTGGGGTAACAGGTCTTGGATTTGCCTGGAAAATGCTCTTCCTATAAACCTAGTTTCCAGTTTGCCTCTGATAGACCATGCTTGTGGCCATTCTTTCATCAAGCTTTTGTTGAACATCTACTCTATGCCAAATGATTTGGGGAATTAGGAGAATTTTAAGACAGAGTCCTGCACTCAAGAAATTTGTATTCTAGTTTAGGGAGACAAGACTAATGTGCATGGGATGTTAAATAATATGAGTATGTGCCACATGACATCTGTTTGGACAACATCTGATCGCATGTACATCCATGATCCTGTAAGGTGTTTTTGTTTTTTGTTTTCCCAGCAACCAGAAAGGATTTACTGGGGACACTGGGCATGCAGAGCTGGGTGGCCACGTGGAAGGGCAGGAGCCGTTCCTTCTGGAGCCTTAGTGTGGGCCTGTGTACCTTGCCAGCCCACCCTGGCTACTCCCAGTAATAGATCCTCTGGCGCTGCGTGAGCTGTGATTGCTGGCCAAAGGCCTTGCTGTAGGTGCTGCAGTTTAAGGGCTTATTGCCTATGTGGGTCTGCAGGTGCCCCAAAAAGTGGGAGCAGCTGTGGAAATCCTTGCCTCATAACACTTGTAGGGTTTCTTTCCTATATGGATGCTCTGGTGCTCAGTGGGCATGGAGCTCCAGACGAAGGCCTTGCCACATTGGCTGCAGGGGCATGCCTTCTCACCTATGTGCCAGCACTGGTGTGCCCAGGTTGGAGCTCGGTGTAAAGGCCTGGCAGTGCTTGCCACATTTGTAGGGCTTCTCACCACTGTGGATACACAGGTGCTGTATGAAGGGTGAGCTATGGCTGAAGGGCTTGCTACACCGGCCATACTGGCCAGACTCAAATGGCAGCAGCAGCAGCAAATTGTGCTTGAAGCTCTTGCCAGAGGTCTCAACAGCTGTGTGACTTTCTGCCCTGTGCAGTCTCCAAACCCCACGCCAAGGCCAAAGCTGCAGCCCAGCTCTGGTCACTCAGAGCTACCACCATCCCAGAGTTCCCTGCCGCAGGAGTGTTCAACACCAGGAGTGTCTAGAGCCAGGTGCCCCTCTTTTGTGTGGTGAGTCCAACCAACCCACAGGCTGCTCCAAATTGGCCTATTGCTGAAAGCTGTCCCCATACTTGGATCTCCGGAAAATGCCTTCAGCAGGTTCTTCAACACACCTGCGCCCACCCCTACCTCCAGAATATCTTGCTGGGGAGACAGTGGTGCCTTCAAGGACTCTGACTCAAAAACGGGCCAGGAGGTGTTTCTCCTGATCTCGACTTTCTGGATGTCTTGGGGATCCAGGTCCCACAGCTCCTCATTGGCGTGTAGTTGGGAAAGCATCTCAGGGCTGGGGCAGGGCTTGTCCTGATGATGGTCATAGAGGTGAAGCAGGGCCTCATGGTAGTGGTGGGCTTCAGGAGCTGTCCCCAGTGATGAGAGACTGACAGTGGGTGAGGCAGGAGGGGACTCCTGATCATACCCTGGGGCCATCATCTTCCCCAAGACCTCTGAAGATGTGCACACCTGGCACCCCATCCTCACTGTCTGAGTATGGAACCCCATTCAGGTCATAGGACTGCAGACCCTCACTATGAGCTCAGGTTCCAGCTCCTACAACCACAACAGCCAAACTGGGGAGGGGCACCAGTGCCATCTGATCAGGAGAAAACATTCCTCCACCCCCTTTTCCCAGCTGGGAGCACTGTGCCAAGAGAAGAGCACCATCTCATTAAATGATATTCATGCTCTCAGAAGGAGTGCCATGCTGGGTTCTGTGTCCTTCTGTCTCCTCTAGCACCTCACATCTGTCCTGGTGGGAGCAGCACAGACATATAGAGGGGCATACACAGCATAATGAATATGGAGGACAAAGAAGAGTTGATGCCTTTGAATTGTGGTGTTGGTGAAGAATACTGAAAATACCATGGACTGCCAGAAGAACGAATAAATCTATGCTGGACAAAAGGCAGCTGGAATACTCCTTGGAAGCCAGAATGGCCAGATTTCGTCTCACCTACTTTGGTCATGTTGTCAGAAGGGTCCACTCCCTGGAGAAGGATATCATGCTTGGTAAAGCAGAAGGTCAGTGAAAAAGGGAAGACCCTCCATGAGGTGGATTGACACAGTGGCTGCAACGATGGGCTCAGGCATAGCAGTGATTGTGAGGATGGTGCAGGACCAGGCAGTGTTTTGTTCTGTTGTCCATAGGGTTATTATGAGTCAGAGCCAACCTGATGCCACCTAATAACAAAAACAACATTGCACAATGGCTTAAGTCTGAAACTTTGATGTCCAGTAAAACTTTAATTCCTGGAATACTGAGACGATAGAATGTGCTAGAGATAGATTTTGTAATTAGTGGAGAATCCAGATACCCTTCTTGGTTCAGCTTTTTGATGAATGCAATTTACTCTTCCTTTGATTTGGGACCTTTTGATCTTTTGAATTGTCACTATTCCTAAAAATTCTTATTGCACTGTCCTTTTGATAGCCTGTGGTATGACTGAGCCCATAAGGTGGACTCCTGATGGCATCACTAATATGGATCCACTTTTTCTCTCTTTACTTGCTTTCTACTTGCTACTTCTGTGTAGGTTACACAGGCTGAGTTCCCATCTCTCCTAGTGCAGCTCTAATTGACTAAGCCTGAGATACCACAGGGGTTCCTGGATAATGCGAACAGTTAACATGCTCAATTGCTAACTGGAAGGTGGGAGGTTTGAATCTACCCAGAGGCCTGGAAGAAAGGCCTGGTAATCAATCCACTTCCAAAAAAATCAGTCATTGAAAACTCCATGGAGCACAGTTCTACTCTGACACACATGGAGTCGCCATGAGTCAGAATGTATTTGACTGAGTTCTGGTGGTGTAGTGCCTAAGATATCTGACTGCTAATTAGAAGGCTGACAGTTCAAACCCACCAGCCACTCCTTGGAAGGAAGATTGGGCGATCTAGTTACGTAGAGATACCGCCTCTGAAACCCAAGGAGGGGTCACTATGAGTTGGATTGACTCAATGGCAGCGAGTTTGGTTTTTTTGTTTGTTCGGTATGGTATGGTGTGAGGTTTCACGTGCCAGCTCTGCCCCCTTGTGGCAAGCACTCAAATCATCTAATCATCATAGGGAATCTAGCTGGGGAAACTGTGGGTATGAGGCTTGGAGCATGGAGCTCAAAAATTGGACTTCTAACAGACAGTTATAGCAACATCTAGGAAGTAATAGGGTAGAAAGATCAGGAATAGTGTCTCCCTGGGCCAATGTGAAACTAAATAGAAGCACAGAATCAGGGCTGTTTGGCCATGAGTGGCTCTCAAAGTTGTATTTGGAGTGAAAGGTCACCAGCAAAAATAAAATGTGCAAACCACACCAAGTGGTTTGGGAATAAGTGAGTTTTAAGTGAGTTCTGTTAGAGTGCCACTTTTGCCCCTATCCTCAGCAAGCATTAAGGTAAGAAGGGGCTGGGGGCTTAGTGAGCTCTGTGGGTCACAGCTTCTGTCCCATGGTGAGAGCAGAAAGCTGCTACTCCCGGGTACCGGCACAACCTTGCAACTGCTTTGGTGCCTGTGGAGAGAGCTTACCTCAGTACTGTACATCTGCCCTCTGAAATCACTCCTGCTGACTCTCCATCCCACAACCCTATCCTGGCTTAGCCAAGCCCACTTACCTGCTCGCATTACAAGGAAGGAAAGGATGCAGCAACTGACCACAGTTCACAACAAACCAAACTCACTACCATGGAGTCGATCCCAACTCATAGTGACCCCCTCCTTGGGCTTCCAAGGCAGTATCTCTATGGAAGTAGATTGCCCAGTCTTCCTTCAAAGGAGTGGCTGGTGGGTTTGAACCAGCAGCCTTACCACGAGCCTTCTGGTTAGTAGTCAAATGCCTTAGGCACTAAGCCACCAGAGAAGGCCTCCCAAAATACATATATTTGGGACATTTAAAGGCCAAAGACAGATCCCTCTTACTTCACTGTTGGTGACTCTGAATGAGAATTGCCAAAAATTAGCAATGTCCACCTGGCCACCTGCTTGAGAGGGGCCAGGAGGACAGATAAGACTTTGCAATGGAAAATAAAGATCAGGAAGGACTTGGTGTGGGGAAGGTGGGTAAGCAGAGCTGATTTTGAGGAGAAGGGATTACAAGGTAGAATAACACTGGGAACACACACACCACTGAAGGGAATTCACACTTTGGTCCCATTCCCCCGAGTTTGGTATCAGCTACCAGCCACTCCTCAGAAGGAAGATAGGGCAATCTACTTCCGTAGTGATACTGCCTCGGAAACCCAAGGAGGGGTCGCTATGAGTCGGGTCTGACTCGATGGCACGTAACAACAACATTAGCCAGTAAACAGGAATTCAAGGCGCCACCTGGTGGTGGTTATCTAAACCCAAGAGTAAACAAAGCCACACACCACTGACCTAACCCATGCGTTCTCTGGTGGTGTAGTGCCTGAGGCATTAAACTGCTAACCAGAAGGCTGGCAGTTCAAACCCACCGGCCACTCCTTGGAAGGAAGACTGGGCAATCTACTTCTGTAAAGATACCGCCTTGGAAACCCAAGGAGGGGTCGCTATGAGTCAAATCGACGGCAGCGAGTTTTAAATGACCAGAAATGCCACAGAAAAGGGAGAAAATTCAGAGGGAGGCACTAGATATGTTGGTGGAGGGAAGAATTCTCTACATGACAGCTGGTTTCAAACTTAGAAGGAATATCCCTGGGTATCCTACAAGAAAGGTCTTACTAGTAGGTCTCCAGTAACTAAAATAAGGCCAAGGATGGGCGAATCAAAGTCAGAAAAACACAGCTACAAATACTCTAATCCCAAAGTCCCTGGTGGTACAATTAATGCACTTAGTAGCTAACTGAAATGTTGCAGGTTCAAATCGACCCAGAGGCATTTCTGAAGAAGGGCCTGGTGCTTTACTTCCAAAAGATCACAGTCAAAAATCCTATGCAGCACAGTTCTGTTTGACACACTTGGGGTAACCATGAGTCTTGACGGCAACTGGTTACCCTATTCCCAAGTGTAGGATCTTTGAGAAGGAACCCATGAACTAAAGGAGGAAAAACACAAGGCAGCATCTGAGCAAAGCTGCACTAAATACCCCGACCTGGCTTATCTCAGCTTTTACCCTAGTTTTCTTCTTTGTGACAGGGCCTTTTGGAGATCAAGAGAGGCCCAGGCATTTCTAGAAAATTCCAAAACAGAGATCAAAATTTTGGTTTTTCATTTTTTTACACCCATTAGATGCTTTTGTACACACACAAACGCACACACACAGATAGTATTGTGCTATCTTCAAGATGTTTTCAAGAGGTGTTTTTTAAAATCACTACCTTGTGCACTTCAGGCAGGTGGGTTGGTGATAGGACACAGGCTTCAGTTTAGATAATAGGCATCCTCTTTTGATACTGTCAATGCAACTTTGGTATTATATGTCGTCTTTAGTGGGCCCTCAATTCATGGTGCCCCATGCCCAACAAAACAAAATGCTGCCTAGACCTGCACCATGCCTGCCCATGATCTGTTGCAGGCTGTACCATTGTGATCCAGAGGGTTTTCACTGACTGATTTTCAGCCTTTCTTCTGAGTTAGTCTGTTTTAGTCTGGAAGCTCTGCTGAAACCAATTCAGCATTATAGAAACTTGCAAGTCTCCCCTGACAGACAGGTGGTGGCTGCCCATGAAATACAAACCTGGGTCTCCTGCATGGAAGATGAGAATTCTGTCACTGAACCACCACTGCCCCCTTGATCTTATACACATGAAGTCATTTGCAAAGATGGCACATGTCTCTAGATGGGAGTAGGTGGTTTGCCTGTCACCCCTACTCCCACAATGTGCCTTCTTGAGATAGGGCTGGGCTGTGCACTCATCTTGAATGGATTGGACACACAAGAAGGACTGAAGACAAAGATAAGGTCATGGAAGAACATCTGGCACCAGGTCAAATTCACAGTCTTTGGTCCCCTGGGTGTTGATGGAAACAAATGAGAGCAATTCCGTACCTCTGTTCATCTCCTCCTAGCCTGATTAAGCCCTCACCCGCCTTGGGAGTGCACAAGTATAAAACACTTCTATTCATTCTGAAGGCAACCATTGGAAGATTAGTGAGTGAGCCCTCAGAGCACTGGGGCAGGGAGCTGTACAAATACTCTAATTTTACCCCACCAGCACTAAGCAATGTCATAATCTAGGAGGATTATGACTGAGGGGCTGGGATCAAAGATTAAGCAGATTAGTGCATGAGACTATCTCAGAGACAAACAGAGTTCAATATTAACCTGGTAAATTTGTAACACATGGTCTCTGGCATTTACTGTTATCTTGAATGCTTTAGTCCTCATTGGTTCTATTAATACCTGAGTTCTTTTGGCATTTTCTCTAGACCTATTTTATGCTTCCTGGGTTTGCCAGGCTATTCTTTACAAGTAGAAAACACCTGGCAAATTCCAGCATCTGGTCAAAGGTCTGAGTACTGAGGTAGGAAACCCTAGGCAGCTAGCAGATGGCAATGAGGCCCCTGTGGACCCTGGAATCAAGCCTGGGTTCAGTCCCAACTCTGCCACTTACTACCTGCATGACTGCAAATGAATGGTCCCTATTATTTCTAAAACTGCACTCACAATTACCTCTCCCAGGTATACTTCATTTTTAAACCTCATGCTAAGTTGTGGATAATAGCTCCTGGAACTAGTCTCAATTCATTTGGGGACACAAGCATAAAACAGTTTTATTCATTCTAAGCACCATTCCCTTCACTTGATAACATCTCAAATAGATCCTATTACTCCCTGATAACTTAGCTAATGAAACAATCTAATTTACTTTAGAACTTCAATCTCATATCCAAATCAAAACTCTTCCCCTCCCTCATCAAAGGCCAGACGTGAGGTGGAAGGAGGGTAGTGGAGTGGGGAGGGTGAACAGTCTTCCTTTCACTCCCCTTCCATTTTGAGTCCTTTAGAGCAGAGTAGGAAGGGCTCCACACCTCTCCTCTCTTCACTGGCCAGGTTGGTCTGAGGTTCACTGGCAGTGGTGGAGAGATAGTTCGCTTGGTCTGGCAACCACACGGTGGTGGTCTCCTCATAGACAGTGTAGATGGTTTCCTTGGGCTGACCTTGAACTTCACTTGATATACTTCGCTACTGAGGGTGCCCTCAGAGGGGTAACTGTATCCTCCATAGGCTTCCTGCTAGTGGTCCAAGTCCCCAGGCCCTGTTTGGATGGGAGTTCCCTTGCTTAATAATTGGATACAGGTACTAATTATCTCTGGTGGTGTAGTGCCTAAGGCATCTGACTGCTAACTAGAAGGCTGGCAGTTCAAACCCACCAGCCACTCCTCGGAAGGAAGGTTGGGCAATCTACTTCCGTAGTGATACTGCCTCAGAAACCCAAGGAGGGGTCGCTATGAGTTGGGTCCGACTCGACGGCACATAACAACAACAACAACAACAACTAATTATCTGGTGAGTGTTTATTTCAGTTCTGTCAGTGCAGTTCTGTGACAATATCTATAACTTCCACGGAGATGCTGTCAAAAGCCTGATTTAAGTCCCTTCTCAAAAGCAAAGCCTGAGCCCTTCTGTCTTCCCCAGTCCCCACTTGGGCAACTTCCCAGCTCCCACCACCCCCACTCCCTCCTACTCTATAGTGAAGGACAGGCAAGTCTGAGGTCCTCTCTTCAACATCATCTGTGGCTCACAAGGAATTGGAGTTACTCAACTTCTCATCCTAGCCTTTCTGGCCACTGATGCTGGCTATGCTTGTCTTGAGGGTAACTGTGGGGACTAACGGATTTGCATGAAGCAATTGGTCCAGGTGTTAGAGCACTTTGGTTAGCCCAGGTCAAGTCCACTCTTCACAGCTGTGCAAGTTGTGCACTGTACAACTCCAGATGTCATTTTACTTTGTAGTCATTAGAGATCATATCTTTTTACAATATTCTGGCAGAGGGCAGTCAAGGGTCAACATAGGGGCTAACAGCTGGGTTGATGCAATTCCCCTTCCTATCCAGATGCCAAAACTCTCTCTTTTCAGATCATCAGCCTCAAGTCCTGCTCCCACTTTGCCATAGAATCCTAGAAGCCAGAGACCAAGAGCTCATTATCTGTATAGCCTGCAAACCAGACCTATCCACATCTCACCCCTATGCCTTGGTGATCTCATGTCCTGCCCTCAGTATTTTCTAGTGTTTCAGGTTGGAACTCCTGTCAGGGATGGAAGATCATCCAAGGACCCTAAAATTCAGGCATCTGTGCAAAGGCGCAGAGTGTGGAGAGAAAGAATCCTAGGGAATCTGAGTCACTTCAGGAACTTTGAAGGTGTTACTCTGCAAGTTTAAAGTATGTTGCATGAAAAGAAAACATTGCATCTAGTGACATATAGAATCTAGCAACATAACTGGAAAAGAGAAAATAATTTTTAAAATGTGCTATGTCACAACTGTGATATACGATTTATAATTACAGTCATCATAACAAATGCCTTCTGACCCCAAAACTCAATTAAGGTAAACCATATTAACTTCACTCTGAATTTTCTTGATAGCAATATTAACTCCTTTTGATATAAACCCATCCTTAAGAATTTGCTGCTTATAACAAGAGAAACAGGGGACAGTGATCTAAGAATATTCTAAGCTACTAGAAGGCTGACAAGTTCAAATCCACCAGCCACTCCTCAGAAGGAAGGTTGGACAATCTACTTCCATAGTGATACTGCCTCGGAAACCCAAAGAGGGGTCGCTATGAGTCGGGTCCGACTCCACGGCACATAACAGCAACAACAACAATTAGTACTGTCCCCTTTTCACCCTTATTTTCTGTCTTCCTTCAAGAAGTTTCTCTCCAGTTCGAATACATCTACAGTTTTATAATAAAATAGAAAAGATTTGCTTTTCAAAATTTTTAGTTGGCTTACTGCGATTCATTCCTCCCTTAAAGCAAGAAGTGCTTGAATTGGGTCAACTTCATTTCATACCCCTTTTGTTCTCAACCATAGATAGTCCCTATACCATCTTAAAAGGAGCTCTGGTGGCATAGTGCCTAAGGTATTTGACTGCTAACCAGGTTAGAGGTTCAAACCCACCAGCCGCTCTGTGGAAGAAAGACTGGTCAATCTACTTCCATAAAGATTTACCACCTTAAAAACCAAAAGGGGTCACTATGAGTCAGAATTGACTTGATGACAGAGTTTGAGTTTTTTTTTTTTATATATATACCATCTTAAAAAACCCACCTACTGCCATCAAATTGATTCCAATTAATAGTGACCCCCATAGTGTTTCCAAGGCTGCAAGTCTTTATGGAAGCAGCTTAGTTTGAGTGGCTGGTGGTTTCAAATCACCAACTTTTGCTTAGCAGCCCAATGCTTTAACCACAGTGCCACCAGAGCTCCTTTAATATACCATTTTCCAAAAAAAAAAAAAAGCCAAATCCACTGCCATTGAGTCAATGCCAACTCATAGTGAACCCCATTGGGTTTCCAAGGCTGTAAATCTTTATGGAAGTAGATTGCCTTATCTTCTTCCTGCAGAGCAGCTGTTGGGTTTGAACCACCAACTTTCTGGTTAGCAGCCAAATGTCTTAACTGCTGCCTGGTCAATTCTGACTCATACTGACCCCCATTGAGTTTCCAAGGCTGTAAATCTTTACAGAAATAGATTGCCTCATCTTCCTCCACAGAGCAGCTGGTGGGTTAAACCACTGACCTTCTGGTTAGCCGCCAAATGCCTTACCTGCCACACCAATAGAGCTCCTTACTATACCACCAGAACTCCTTAATCTTAGCCCCTGCTTTTTATTTTTTAAAATACCAAAATGGAAGAGGGGAAAGCAGATGAGCAGAGCATAAAAACAGGACACTCCAGAGCAGTCAGATCACAAGGCAGTTTTATTGAATTAGTTGCATGTGGAAGAAGTTCTTCCCACTAGCATCAAGTGCAGGCATTAGAGTGCTGAATCCAGAAGGAAGGTGAGGCAGGTGGGGTTGGGTAGGGAGGGCCTAGAGCCTGGGGCCTAATTACTTGGTGATGCAGGCAGAGCTCTCTCTGGGGCCTGAGACTTATCTCAGGAAGACTGCACTCAGACGCCCCATACATCAAAAAGCAGCATTCGCATCTCACTCCTCCTCTCTGGAAAACAAAGGAGAGAAGGAAAGGAGGGCTCAATATTCATGGAGAGACAGGTAGCAACACTCAAATTCTTATCAACTAACATTTTCCAAAGGAAAAATAAAATTCCCATTCCCAATGGTTTCCTGGGCCCTGGCAACAGGAGCAGTAATTCTCACCAGGCTGTGCTTTTTATTTTTATTTGTTCGCTCCCAGGAACCTGAGAGCTGTGAAGGCACATACACTTACTCATTCTTTCTGCGGAATTCCTCCAGGGCTTTCTTTGCCACGATCTCCATAAATTTAGGCCGATTCCAAGCAACATCTTTTGAGACCATCAGAGTCATGGGGTCAGATCCAAAGAGCTTCACAACCACCTCAGTGTCACCAGACTTGGAAGAACTATCCAAGACAGTGGGTTGGGAAGTCACCTAGAAGGAAACAAAGGTTAGAGGATGTTGTTGTTGTTAAGTGCCGTCGAGTTGTTTCCAACTCATAGCGACCCCATGCACAGCAGAACAAAACACTGCCCAATCCCGCACCAGCCCCACAATCCCTGCTATACTTGAGCCCATCATCGCAGCCACCATATCAATCCATCTCGTTGAAGGCCTCCCCCTCTTTCGTCAA